CCTCCCTGATCCTAGAAGCGTGGGCACACAGGCCATAGCCAAGAGCACATCTGGAAAAGAGCTACACAGGCACACAAGCAACAGCCAGATGCTCACCCCAATACCATTGATAAGAGCACAGAGACCCTAGCCAGAAGCCTGTGCAGCCCATGTGTTGGGACCACAGGCATGTGCTGCCACACCCAGTGTTTACCTGTATTTTAAGCTCTTTTCTTATATGTGGTACATTTTCTCCCATGCTTTCTATGTGAATGTTAGTGAATCCATTTGTGCTATCTTTTAGTTTTTCTCTAATTCCAATTAGCCTTGGTTTGGTCTTGTTGTCATCTAGTAGCTGCTGGATAGTTTTCTCTTGTTCTCTTATTTTATTTTATTTTTGGCTTCTTTGAGCTCTTTATCAGAATTCACTATTTTGTTCTCAGTATCACTCTTTTCATATTGGTCATTTCTGCAATGTATGACTTCTATATAGTTTTTTTTTTAATTTCAGGTATTTATGACAGCTTTTTAAGGATTTCACATCCTTGTTGAATCTGTCATCAAATTTTGAATTGTTTTGGTTAGCTTGTCCAGTTTTTTACCTATTTCTTCAAAGTTCACTGTAGGCATGTTGAGTGACATTGCTGTGAACTTTGGTTTGTTTCCCCTTTGAACTTACCTATTTGTTCATCCCTTCTTTGACCTTTTCATGGATTTCTGCTACCTGGTATTTTCTTCATCCTTTTTGGCTCCTTGCTCTGCCTTGGGAGAATGTGTGGGGGTTTGGAAGTCTTCTATTTCCTTGCTTTTCCATTCTCCTATGTTTATCTGCGTGTGTGTGTGTGTGTGTGTGTGTGTGTGTGTGTGTGTATGTGTATCTTAATTATATACAATCTCTTCCCCCCTCCTTTTTTTGGCGGGGGTGGGGAGTTATGCAGTTTGGGAACTAGAGTAGTAAGGAGAGTTTGTGGCTTATATGGAGATTTTTAGTAGGATGTTGCCTTCCCATGAATAACTTTCAGCTTTGCATGTCCAGTGCTAGTATTTACTCCTGTTATTTACTTTAAGTGATTTCAACTATATCAGTATGTTTTGCTGAAAGAATTACTTCTGGTTATAAAAGCTTCTACAGATTCAGCCTTACAACACTTCTCCATGATAGTTCTCGCTGTTATACTTGTCCTTGTCTGTTCTCTATTCATACTAGGATAGTTTATTACAGTTGTTGTGCAATAAGGAGTGTTGATACTAAGGGGTCGCTTTGAAGAGGGGAATAGGGGTAGCTGAGAAGAAGAGGTTGATGTGGGGTCTGATTTTATTTTAGTTGAGTTGAAGTGTTAGTAATGAGTGTTTTCAGAGGATATTTTGTAAGGGCAAGGGCAAGAAATGGGAAAAAGGGGTTTACTTTGTAATTGAGAAAATTGATGCTATTGTTAGAACTTGCTGAGAGGGAGGACAATAAGTGAGTAAGATATGGAAGAGCCAAAGGGTTAGGATGAGGAAGATCAAGGAATAATACTGGAGAAGATAGGAGGGACTATGACGGAGCTAAGTATGGGGAATTTAAAAGCTTGGGAGGAGTTTACATATTTGGAAAAACAAAAAAAATACGTTAATAATATTGTCTTGGGGGTCTGAGGTGAAGAAACTAAGTAGGAAGTTGCAACAAGGGAGGTAACCTATACACCTTTTAAATCAAAGCCAATGAAAGAACAAATACACAGAAGTAACAACTTTAAACACAAAGGAACCAATAAAAGAACATAACTCCACATTACTAAATAAATCAAGAAACATACAAAAACTCAAACCTATACAATGTCCAATGGGAGCACAGTTTAAATATTCCAGTGAGACCTTGCATATGTGATTCCCAAGAAGCTTCTGTGCCAGAGTCTGAGCGCTCACATTCAGTAACCCTTCTGACCCCTCCACTGTAACACTGAAGCTGACTCCTACGAAGGATTTCTTTCTGTCAGGTTGCAGGCATTCTTGCAGAGACTGATCTGAGTTCTTAGGTTAGGAACTCCTGCAGTCCTTCCTCCTGGGTATGACTGATTTGGCAGGCAGGTTCACTGGCACGAAATTGTCCACTGAATCAGGATTATTCCTATGCAATCAAATCAGCTACAGTAGTAACAGACTAGTCCATCATAGTGATATCTATCGGGGCTAGTTGAGAAATAAAAGACCATGAGAGGGCCAGGGATTTAGCTCAGTGGCACTGTGCCTTGCAAGCTCAAGGTCCTGAGTTCGATCCCTGGTACTGGAAAAAGAGAGAGAGAGAGAGAGAGAGCAAGCACACAGGAGAGGGAGACAGAAAAGGCCATCAGATGCTGTTTTGGGTCTCCTTTTAGCCTACAGAAGCAATCAATGGCTATAGTGAAAGCATCTTAACAATCCAAGTCTTGATCAATAGTTAATATACACTAAATGTGATGGCTGAATGTCCTCTGATGGTGAAAACCAGCATTTAATAATAATTTTATAAAATCAGTATCAAAACCCCAGGGTGTTAGGGACTGTGTAATGCCAGGGTGAGGGGGAAGAGGAGAGAAAAAAGAACAAAAGTTTTTTCTTAAGCCCTCTGCTCTGTGGTAGGGGAAGGGGGGGCAACAGATCCTAATGATGGTAAGGGTATATTATATGTCTAGAAGGAGATAGCAGGGAAAACTGGATACAAAATTGTAGTGAGAAATGGAGATGGGAAAAGATTCTATGACTAATATAAATATTAGAGAAAAATTAAAGGGAGACAAATGAAAAGGGGGAGAGGAAAAAAAAGAAAAATTGAGAATGACTAATACACAGGAGAAAGAAGTTAGGTTATATATGTAGGAGGGGTATAAAGGAGAGAATTCCCTTACCCTCAATAAACTATTTTGGGAGGGGAAAAAAAGCCAGAGGAAGAGAAGCACACACATACATAGACAATCAAAAAAGAAACAAAAGGGTAAAATAATTATATATGTAGGAGGGGTATAAAGGAGAGAATTCCCTTACCCTCAATAATATATTTTGGGAGGGGAAAAAAAGCCAGAGGAAGAGAAGCACACACATACATAGACAATCAAAAAAGAAACAAAAGGGTAAAATAATGGAATAAAATTGTGAGGGGGGAATTCACAGCAGGAGGAAAACAGCAAAAAAAAAAAAGAAAAATAATACAATCAAATGAAGAATAATAAAAGAAAGTTTTCTATTGTTTTGGATGTGTGGCTCCTTTCCTCAGTTTAGGGTTAAGGGGCAGAGCTCAAGCTAGGATGTGTCTCTGTTCACTCTGGAGTCTGAGGTGGGCAGTCTGCCTCCAGAACAGTATTGGATGTAGAGATCTGCTTACAGCGAGAAGGAACATGGCACCAATGTGAGCTTCCAACCCTGTGCAACTTCGGCAGAACTGGGCCTCTGGCTTAAGGAGCCTGGTCTGTGTTCACCAGCCGCTGCCTCTCAGCAGAAGTCCCTGGTCTGCTCTCCAACTTCCAGCAGCCCCCAGTGACTGTCTTTCCTTCATTCACTCTGGGAATTCAGCAATGTGACGCAGGCACGAGGCTGCCCTGGGACGCAGCTTCACACACTGGGCCTTTCTCTACAGTGGCGTCCCTGCTAGCTTTTGCTCCATGGTTGTAGCTGTGGGTGCTTGTACTGAGGTCACTCACCAACTGTTGATTGTGGCAGGCCACTCTAGAAGCAGTGTCCTGTGCTTTCCTTGCTGGTTCCAAATGCAGATGATTCAGTCCCAGTGCAGTTCTGTGGTTCTCCATGAGCAAAAAGGTTGTTAGTTTCACTTTGCCTCCCAGCTGGTGGCTAGCTAGTCGCTGTGGTCTGCCCTGCATGCTCTCTCCTCCATGGTGTGAACTATTTCTTCTGTATCACTTAATCCTATTTTTTTTCTTCTCTGTCAGTCCCTCGTTTCCCAGGTAACCTCCACTCGCTTTGGTTCCTCTGCAAGCTATTGTTTCCAGACTCTAAACACTCTGTCCTTGAGAAGTTGAATTGCTGGCACTCACTGCTCCATCATTTTGGGGCTGCTAAAGCTTTTTCAACTATTACTCATGAGTGATTTCTTCTGTGAAATGTTTATCCTCCCCTTTACCTCTTTTCCTTAAGTGAAGACTTAGGCAGTTATCTTCAAACTGATCCTTATTAATCATTTTAAAAACCAGCTCCTTTGTTCCCACACATTGAATAGGCCTTAGCCTAAACTAAGAGCTTCTAAGAGTAAAGTTCCCACTTTTGGCACTCAAAGTTTGCAAGCAACTTTCAACTTCTACATTCTAATATTCTCTACATATATTATGTATCATCCCACCTGAATTAGCTGTTCTTGAACATAACTCTGTATTTCTACTTCCTGTTTTTTCTAAAACCAAAAAATATTTTTTCAGAATTTTTGATTTCTACCCTCAGTTTTATCATTGAAATTTCAACCCATCCTTCAAGGTACTAGTAATTGTATATATATATTTAAATCTTAAAACAATGCTTATATTGATATCATTTTAGAGGTAAAAACAAAAATTAAGGCTTATGTGGTAGATTATGTGATTTAGCAAATGTCACACAACTAATATACAGCAGGTTAAGATTCTAACCCAGGTCTCTGACTTTGAATCCTAAATTCTCTGAAAATAAGACCTAACTAGAAAATAATCACCTTTGAAAACTAGAGACCAAAACTGCCAGCTCCAATTGCCTTGCCTTACCTGCCCTTCCGGAGTAGCCACCAAGCAAGAGAATAGTGCAGTACAATCTTCCTGACCCTGGCCATCACCATGGTAACTACCGGTGCTTATTTTCTGGCTAGGTCTTATTTTTGCGGAGACATGGCTTTCAGATACTAGGCTAAGTGTGACGGTAAGGGCTGGTCAGGAGACATCTTACAACTCCTTCATACCAAGCTGAGGGGTTAGATCTCAATGTTAAAGTCACTCGGAGTACATTTCAGGACTGTGAGCTGGGATGGGGGTGGGGTTGTTCTAGTGCTTCATTATGAAAGGGTAAAATACTTTCATATCACATACCTTTTCCTCTTGCTTGGCCCTTAGTATGTCATCGTTTTCGAACACCACAGTGACCCCTGAGACATTTGTGGCATCAGAGCTATTTTTGACTTCTGTGGCTTCTATGGCTTCCACGACTTCCGTGACTTCCGTGACAATTCTAACATCAGGCAACTCTGTGACCTCATTTTCTGGAATATCTGTGACATCTGTAATGTCCGTAACATCTGTGAACTCTGACAGACTTATGCTTTCTGTGACATGTACAGGTTCTGTGCATAGGTACATGTGTGGGGTCTGTATATCTGCAAAGGCTGTAATATCCATGATGGCCATGGAGCTTGTGACTTCTGTGCTGTTTGTGATTTCTGAGAGGCTTGAGACTTCTGACACTTTGGAAGCTTTGGCTTTCTCCTGATTTAAGAGGCAGATGAGATCCATCCATTGAGAAAATAAGGCATCTTGTTTATTCGCAGGGACGCAAAGTTGCAAGTAGTAGGCTCTACCACTCACCAGCTTTACTTTGAGGCGCATATTCTCAGCATCATGCACAGAAAGAGTCACAAACTGCAGAGGAAGAAACCTGAAAACAAATGCCAGTGTAACATTATCAGGAGACCTGGTTGGAAATCTGTAAAAAGGTCTTTCCTTTTATATTTTATAGCAGCAGAACAACAGGCTTGTATCACAGCTGGCTCTCTGTGGGGATTCCTGATAGTCATCTGACCTTAATCAAGTGTCTAAGACTCTAATATACTAAAAAAAATCAGATCACCAACTATTTACCACAAGAGATATTGTCCAGTTTAATTAATCTTAAAAAATTGACTCTTAAGAGATGTTCAGGAATTTTCTCAATATCATAAAGCAAGTTAATGGCTGAGACAAAACCAGAGGTAATTCTGATAGAAGCTGGGATGTTGAAAAGAGAGGCAGCACATTCTTGAGAAGCAATTTATTACGAGTCTTCATTTCCTGTTACTTAGTTTTAAGTTTTAAAAGTCAAATGCATGTTTAATTGCTTTTGTCATAAATCATTTTTCTCAACTTTCAGGACACAATTTGGTCATTTGAGGCAGGGAATGCAGATGAGATGCTCCTTTGAAGCAACTGTCATGAGTGTCTTCATTTTCAGCTCCCCAGGAATAAAGCACATTCTCTGAGAGTCTTAGCCTCTTCTCTTTGTAACTCACCTGGTGAGCACCAGCTTCTCTGTAGAAGGAGATGTCAGGAGGCTTTTAAACAGGGATTCACCATGTTTTTGTGCGGTGGGTTTCAGATGTGCCAGCAGCATCACATTGGGGATCTTATGGGTAGAACTGGAAGAACAGATGCCCACAGTCACCCAGTTGGCTCGGTTATGAACATAAATGGATTCACCTCTCCTGTTGACCTGAGTGCAGAGAACAGGAGAGGAGGTTTTTGATATAAGGCGTAGTCCTGACCACTTTGTTTACTGATTTATATGCAAGGTCAGGAAATAAAGGGGAAATGGGACCTGATGCATAAAATCCTCTACTTGCTTATGTTAAGTTTTGGAGATACCACAAAGAACAGGCTGGGTGGAGAGAAGAGGGTATAAATACAGTTTGTATAGGGCTGGGGATTTAGTGCAGTGGTTCTGCCGCCTGCCTCACAAGCACAATATACCGAGTTTGATCTCTGGTACCTAAAAAAAAACAAAAACAAAAAAAACCCAAAACCAGTATATAGCAATAATATCTGTGCTAGTTGGCAAAACAAGACTGGAAAAGGGATAGTCAGAGGTGAGAAGGAAGCCAGAGAGGAGCTATACTTTGGTTTCTTAGTTGTATGACGACCTGTTCAATTAAAACATAAACCTGTTAACAGCAACTTTATTCAGAAAAAAGTTGTGGCCCACACAAGGTCATATTTCTCTTCTGATTGTCAGAATCCTGGGTTTATTTATTATCTACCCTTCAGACATGGTGACTCAGCTCAGGGGTTAAATTCCAATTAACCTAAAATTGAAATGGTGACCCTACTTCCTTGGCAGACTGATTTTAGTAGGGGGCATTGTTCCCAGGCCTGGCCAGTAAGACAAAGATGGGGGCCTCTTAGTGGTTCTGGAAAATATTTCTCAGCCTCCTCACTAGGGGACACCAGGATGAGACCTTTTTTTCATGTATTATTGTCCTGTTTGAATGTCATATCTTGCTAGTGGGTGACAACAAAAAGAGAGAACTTAGGTCCCTCAGAGTGCACAGGTATCCTGGGCTCTTTCACTCTGAGATCATTTTTTTTTTTTTTTTCTTTCTCACTTAAGCCTATTCAGTCAGAAATCTTGGTAGCTCGGTGCCAAAGACACACAAATCAGGAGAGGTTGTGTATCTTTAAGGGTCTGACTCATCATATTAGGACATGGGCTTGAGTCTGTCTATTGACTGCTATCTCCCTCTATATATTAGAGTGAGCAAAAAGTGATTTGAAAATGGCACAGAAAGAAAGGTTAAAAATAAAACAAATTAGTAGGAAAGAAGCAAGTAGAAGGCAAAGAACATCAAATTATGACTTGTCACATGTTCTGGATCCATCACTGGATATGCCTCTGGAGGCTTTACCGCCTGTCGGTAATATACTGGGCTGGAGAGGTCACACTAGCACTCAAGTGTCAGTGGAGAGAACACATTTACGAAAGAGGAAGCCTCCTTACTTTTGGAGCAGTGTCTGTAATCCTTGCGGAATTGGCTGAGTCTGCTTGAATGTGTTACAGTCAGAGGTTCAGTGTGCAGTACTAGACATTGTTGTGAGAGTATGGCCCATGCCAGCTGAGCTGATTTCCCTGTTTCCTTGGGTGACTATTTTAATGTTGTATGTTTAGAGGATAGTTGGCACTTCTTCCATGCACAGAGATATAGTTTTATTCATAATATAGCCACATTCTTATGAGAAGAAAGCTTTTCTCTCTGACACTACCTGACAATTATGTTTTTTCCTTTGGAACTGAGAGCTAAGAATCATTTTAATTCTTTGTTTGTTATTCATGTTTTTCTTAAAATGTCTTCTAGAAAGAAGTTATCTGAATGCCTTCCTGTGACAGGATGTTTTAAAAATCACTTCACGTGACTTCCCACTTTGTGGGAAAATTATGGTAGAATAACAATTACTGTAGAATTAGGACAGAATTACCACCTAGGAGTTTGCTTGGAACATTTGAAATGAATGTCCCTTTAACCCTTTAAGTATTCTGGGTTTTAAAAAATTCCAAAACTGTTTGCTTCAACCGTGCCACAAATTCCCTTGCCCCATTTAAACTTTTCACTTGCCTCAAGAAAATTAAATATTGCAACTTAATTTGATGCTCAAGTATTTACCTGAATAAAATTGCTTTCTAGCATGGGAGGAGATACAAAAGGGGCATACTCTCCTCCGTCCAACATATTTTGGAGATGTCCTGGGTCATGCTCATTGATTGAATTCCTTTTGTTCTTCTTCATTGTGCTTATACACAAACATTAGAAAATAGAGGGAACAAATACAGAGAGAATATCATAATTAATTTTCTTCATTTATTAATCTATTTAGCAAATTTTATTAACATCTAGATACATCTAAACAGAACTGATAAGGTCTATATCCTTGTGCAGCTTTCACCCTATAGGGGGACAGACTAGAAGCCAAAAAAAAAAAAAAAGATGGGATGATGGAGACTATATAAAGACGGTAAAACAGATAATGGTAATTAAAAATGATGCAGCTGTATAGCTAGCAAGCTATTAGAGTATATTAGGGTGCTTAGGAAAGGCCTCACTGACAGACTTGTCATATATATGATCCCCTACCCCAAACTATTACTTCATACATTCCTAATTAATAGTATATAGCACTACTCTGAAATTACGCAGGTTTTTCAAATCCTTTTTATGTAAGTAGGATGTCAAAACTATACTAAACTGAGAACACTTCTTCCACACAATTAACTCATAACTGAGCCTCAGCTCTTGGTTGGAAGGTAAACAGTAGCTATCTCTCTAATCAATAACTCTTCCTCCCTTGCTGTGACAATTCTAATGAACTAGGCTCCAGTAGTTCATTAGATCACTCTTCCCAATTACATAGATATTTCTCAAAAAAAGATGCACAAATGGCCAATAGTTATGTGAAAAATATAGATATGATTAATCATTAGAGAACTGTAAATCATAACTACAGTGGCACATTACTTCACAACCATAAGGTTGAGTACTATTAAAAACAAAGAAAGCTGAAATACAAAGCCAGGCATGGTAGTGCATGCTTTTAGTCTTAGCACTTGGCAGTTCAAAACTAGCCTGAACTACATAGTGGAATCCTGTCTCAAAAGAAAACCAACAATAACAACAAAAGCAAAAACAAACCAGGCCTGGAGATATAGCTTACTGGTATAGCACTTGCCCAGTGTGCACAAAGCCCTAGGTTTAACCCCTAGCACTACAAAATGACCCAAGACCAATACCCCACCCAAAATAATCACAAACAGAAAATATCAAGTGTTGACAGGGATGTGGAAAAATTTAAAGTTTTGTGCACTGTTGTTTGGAATGCATAATGGTACAGCTGCTATGGAAAATGATGGTGGCTCCTCAAAAAATTAAACACAGAGATGCATATGCCAGTAGTTCCATGGCTGTATATATAAAACTGAAAACAGAGTCTTTAAGAGATATTTGTACCACGTCTATAGCAGTATTATTCAAAACAGCTAAAATATGAAAACAATCTAAATATGCACTGGTAGACCAAACATGGTACATATGTACAATGGAATATTAGCCTAAAAAAGGAAAGAAATTCTGACACATACTAGAACATGGATAAGGACATACACAAAGTGAAATAAGCCACCCACAAAAAGCAAATATTCTATGATTCCACTTACAATATAGAGGTGTCTAGACTAATCAAATCACAGAAACAAGTAGAAGGGTGGTTGTTAGGTGCTAAAGGGATGGAAAAATAGTGTTTATGAGTGCTGAGTTTCACTTTTACAAGAGGAAAAAAAAGATCTGGAGTTGGATAGTGGTGATGTTTGCAACAATATTATGAATATATTTAATATCATTGAACCATACACTTAAAAAAAGTTAAGATGGAAACTTTTATGTGTATTTTACTACAAAAAAAGATTTCTCATCTCTCACACACTGCACACCAGATAAAGGGTACTTAACCGGCAGCAGTAGATCAGGTATATGTGTATATGTTCATGTGTGTGTGTAATACACACACACACACACACACACATATAGTCTCACCTCAGTCCTTCCTCAGAGACTCCTTTTCTTCCATGGCTCAAGCAAAAAGTTCAGTAGTGAGCATATCTTGTTGCAGCCCAGCTAGGGCCGTGAGATGCAGAATCCTCCATTATCTAACATGCTACGAACATATGGCTTTGGGTACAACCAGGCATGGGAATCCAACTCCAAACACATATGCCTCCCACTGGAGGCCACTCAATAGCTTCCTTAACTATATCTTATGCATGTACAGAGGGAAAGTAAAATGTCTCAAGAAAAGCAAAAAAGTGAAGAAATTGAAATAGTCTCTCTCTCTCTCTCTTTTTTTTTTTTTTTTGGTGGTACTGGGGATCAAACTCAAAGTTAGACTTTGCTCTAACTTGCAAGGCAGGTGCAGCAGCCCTGAGCTAAATCCCTGGTCCTGAAATAGTCTATAGAAGCTAAAATGAGATTTAAAAAAGAAAAGAAAAAGTACTCAGAATAAAAAAAAAAAAAAAACAGAGATACAACAACCAGCACCACCCAAAAGAGAAAGGATGAGAGATAATACTCAACAGTATTCATTTTGTGCTTATTAAGTGGCAGGTAATAAAGGCTTAATTTACAGGGACTATCTCGTTCAATTTGGATAACACTATGAAGAAACACTATTAAAACATTCATTTTACACACCATGCAATGGGGGCTGAGAGAGGGAAAGCAACTGCCCTAACATCACACAGCTTATCAGTCCCCAAACCAGAATTTAGACCCTTGTAATCTGACTAGAGCTATTTATTATCCAATGTTCAACCCTGCTTTGGGCACTTGGAAAGATGTATGTGAGAGTTGTCAAGGATGCAGGAGAACAGGATAGGTCAGGTTGGTAGGAAAGAAGATAAAGAGGAGGAGGAGGAGGAGGAGCATAAGAATACCAAAAGCATCCTTCCCCTTTCTTTCTGTTCCTTCTCCTTCCTGAACAATTTAGTCCTGAATACATCTGTGGGACAGAGAGAGGCAGGAATCTATGCTGGAAGAAGAGGGAGCCACAGCTCAGAATCCAAGGAAGGAGAGCAGTCTGGATTCTTTACTCCTGTGCTCCTCTCAGCTCAGTATCATATCAGTTTATGTCTCTACAGGTACCCAAAAAAGTTGATCACTGTAGACAGCATCTTTGTACATTGAGTCTCCAAGAGAGCAGAAGAGGAAAAGCAAGGCTTGGCAAGTGAAATAGTAGGAGAGGAAAGGAGTGAAAAAGAGACAAAATGAGAAGAGAGGGTATGCGCAGGGGCTCATCCATAAGGACCATCAATTCTTACCTCAGATCAGGGCCCAACCACTATTTGCTGTTGGTGACAAGGTTTGTAACTCACTTCAGTTTGGGCTTCCTCCTTTTCATGATGAAACCTTTGTGAAAGAAACAAAAATAAAAAATAAAGTATTATACAAAGGAAGCTGATTGCAATTCTAAACTTTACTTCTTCTTTTCCTAAGTATATTAAGTGGGCCAAGAATAGTCAGAGGGGTCTGCTGTGCACATTTGAACCCAGCCCATTGTTGATCATGATTTTTGGTGAAGATCGGACAGTCTATAGCATATCATTTGGCCTGAAACTGCCAAATAGTGAAATCCTAGTCTTCTCTGACATGGAAAATATTTGATAATGTAGCAAAGAAAGTAATATAGAGTACTACCTGAGCTGTGTTTAAATGCCATGTAAAATGTGTTCCTATGGTTACCCAAAGCTTTATATTGACACATTCTATTAAGATTGAGAAAGTCCTCACAAGGACCCCAGTTCAATCCCCGGTACCAAAAACAACAACAACAACAAAAAACAACCCCAAAAAACAAAAAACGAAACATTGAGAAAGTCCCAGGAGAAAACTAGCAGAGCACTTGTTAAAAGCTTGGAAGAAGGTCTCAAAGCATTCCCTTAAGAAATGTGCAGAACATGATGGAATAGAGAATACTGTGTGGGAAAATTCTAAGTAATAAGAAAGCCCTGAGCTATATAAGTAGCAGCAATTTTTCTTTCTTACTGGTCCATAAAATAATGGTATATCTTATTAATGATAGATGTTAGATTTGAGGAAATGTAGCAGTCAACTCACTCATCTAGAGGTGGATGATAGAGTACCTATTAAAAAAAACAACACTCAGAGAAATGAAAACACCCACATGTTGGAAGTAGTGCCTATTGTTCAGAGATACTTGCTAATTAGTCGATACCACATGGTAACTGGGACTAGGGTGTGTCTCTTCTCAGTGAAGTCATTTAGGCTCTCTCCAGGGGCCCTTGGATTTAAGAACAATCCCTTCTGAGAACAGTTGGTAGACGATTTCCCAGGGAAGCATGTGTCACTGTGAAATCAGGACACAGAAAAGAAGATGAGGTGAAGGGAAGGGATTTAGAGGTTTTGTAGCCATTAGTGGGTTTTGCCTCTTGCCTCTTTTGAACCTGGAGGAACAAAGATGAGGTCAGCTAAGGAGCCAAAAATGTAACAAGCTCTTTTATTATCTCTGATGCCATGGATTTTGCATTTATAATTTTGTCCTGGAATTATTTTGACACTTTTGGATTGGGTATGCATTGAATTTTGACTAATTGTGTTATAACTGTGATTTGATATTATTTGTAAGTGGCATCCTTCCAATCTCTCCAAGTATCCTAGTTAATTAGTCAGGACTGCACCCCTCTTCAGACAGATGAGAGGTTCTGTGAAACCAGTTTTGATCACAAACACACACACACACACACACACACACACACACTCCTACATATTTCATCAAATGGTTCAGAATTAAACCATTAAATTAACTACTTACTGTTTCCTTTTAATACCTGGTGGCAGTATTAAAATTTTGATCTTTTGAGTTTTACAAATAGATTTTCACTTCATTATGATATAGTAATATTCTCCCAGAATATTAAATATTATTTAAAGCACTAATTACCAATCATGGTGTGGAGCTATTTAGAACATCATAATCTCTCATAAGACATGCCAAAATTATTTGTACCTTGTGGTTAAATTGATGTTTGAGAAATTATTTTCCTTTAAAAAGAAATGGATAGATTCAGCGCTCTGAATCTACTAAGTTACTTATGCTTGGCTTTACTTTTTTGGGGGGGATGAGTCATCTCAGCCCTTACCTTCTTATCCAGTAAGGAGCCTTTCTACTGTTATTAATCTTGGTGGTTCAAAATAATTTCATTTTGGTCCAGGGATGTAGCTCAGTGGCACTGCACCTGCCTGGCAAACACAAGGTTCCGAGTTCAATCCCCAGTACCCACCCCCCAAAAAGAAAAAAAATTGGTATGGGCCAGAATGTTGCAGATAGTTTTATTTTTAATCTATCTATCTGTCTATCTATCTATCTATCTATGTATCTATCATGACAAGTTCTTATGGTATAGTCCAGGCTGGTATTGAACTCACTGTGTAGACTAGACTGGCCTCCAATTCATGGCCATCCTTCTGCCTCAGCCTCCTGAGTGCTGGGACTACAGGTGTGCATCACTATGAGTGGCTTAGATTAGTTTTTAAAATAGCTTTATTGAAAACAATTATCTCATAGGATCTTATGTACTATTATAGTTTATTCACACCAGAGAAACTATTCGGTATTTACACATGTGTGACTTATTTATTTCACTTAGGAGTATATCCTCAATATGTATCCATTTTCCTATGAATGAATCTAATTTCTCATTCTTTATGGCTGAGTAGTAGTCCATTTTATAGAAAAACCACATCTTCTTTATCCAGTCTCCAACTGATGGGCAAATGGGCTGTTTCCAAGTTTTAGCTATTACCAACTGTGCTGCTATAAACATAGGTATGCATATATCTCTGTGATATGATTCTTTTAATTCTTTTGGAAAGATACCCAGCAGAGGGATAGCTGGGTCAAATGGAACCTCTAGTCCCAGCTCTTTGAGATAACTGACAATGTAAAATAGGAAGAAAAGTGCTAAAGGCACAGGGAAAATGGGAAGGGTAGGGGAAAGGTAATAAGCGAAAATAAGAAAAATATGAGAAAATGAAAAAATGGAAATAAAATATTTGTAAATGGTGAGGAGGGAGGGGGTGAAGGGAGGGCAGGGACAAGGGAAAAAATGAGAACCAAGACCTGTCATGTAAAGGTACAAGATCCCAATAATGAATGTAACTGTACTGTACACCTACAATGTACCAATAAACTTCAATGAGGAAAAAAAAAAGAAAAATAATTTATGTACTGTCCAGTTCACTCACTTTAAGAGTACAAATTTTAATGGCTTTGCAGCCACCAGTATCATCCAATTTGGAACATTTTCATCATTGTCTATGAATACACTTTTAATAAGGATCAATAAAAAACACGAACAGTACATGTACATCTGTCTACCTGGTATCACCTGTGGTGGCTTCATGTCAGAGGGAATGATGCCACCACAGCCTTTAATGGTGAGCAGTTAGAGCTGAGTGATGTAACCTGTGAAACTTACAATGATACTTATACTAACAAATCAAACATTTATAGATTTAATATATTTTAAATTGTAAAAATCTTATCTATAAAAATTATTTATGAAAGCTCATACTAACATGCTTTGTAATAGATATGCACTAGAGCTCTACAGTATAAAACTTATAAATAAAAAGGCAAATTTTAGTATTAAAAGATATTAATTACATTAAGGGCTGATTCATTTTTAATTGAATTACAACGCATACATACTGAATGAATGTGTGAACTAAAGCAGAGAAGCACAGCACGGTTTCTATAGGCCATTGTGGAGACACAGAACTGGCTTTATTTCATGCATTCACAGAATCTTTTGTTATAATTTGTTGTTCCAGGGTTGTGTACTAATTTTCCCAAGCATAGTTTAGATTTTTCCAATACACATTTATGCTTTTGCAAGACCCATACAATGCCCTATATTTTAAATCAAGTAAGCAAGATGCAGAGCATACAGTATAGATAAAGGCTTTAACTGCGCTGCAGGTCCAGGACACTATGAAGAAGTCTAATCCTACTGGAGATGAACCCTAACATTCTCTACCACTAGTAGATGCTTTGCAATCTTTGCTTTTTTTTGTTGTTGTTGGTACCCGGGACTGAACCAAGGCCTTTGCACCAAGCTGCATTCCCAGCCCTTTTTTTTTGAGACAGGGTCTTGCTAAGTGGCTAAGATGCCCAGGTGGGGCTTGAATTTACCATCCTCCTACCTCAGTCCCCCAGAGTCCTGGGATTACACGTGTGCACACCTAGGCCTGGCTGCTGTTTCCTTTAATTTAGTGCTTTTCCTCCTCCTCAATCAATTTTCTCTGGTTTTTTTTTTCCAGTTCCAATTGAATGAACATTAATTTACCAAGCAGTTATATCAGGCTGTACTTTTCTGCAGAATTACAGTGTAATTTTCATTTGAAAAAAAATTGTTGGTTAGTTTTTCTAAAAGAAAAGGTAGAGGGATTCTATTTAAATCTACTTACAGACCAGAAATCATTGCTAGGCATACAACTGGGAAATCAAGAACAGAGAAGCGACATAATGTATAACTGTCAGGAGTGGAGCTAATGGACCCTTGCTCTCAACTCTCCACATTGTTCCTAGGACTTCCCCAGGTGTATCTACTGTTTCAAGGATGACCAAGGCACATTATTAGGGCCAAGAACAGTATGGATGTGGGGTATGTTCATACTGCATTTCTGGTAAAGTGTCTTTATTTTCCAGGAATAAACACAATCTTCTGGAATTCTTTGGAAATGTGACAGCTTGAATGTTAATGAAAATTGGGAAGAGGAGGGTGTGGTAGCCTGAGGAGCCAGCATAAAAGTATTTTGATGGGGTTTTATGACTGCCTGATTCAGAAGGATGTTTATGCCCCTAAAATGTTCTCTGTAAATGTCTGCTACTTAGCGTTCCCATGGGGTCTTTGCAAACCTAGGGCAAAATTGAAAGAATTCTATAGCGTATGTTTATCCACCCACCCACCACCTAGATTCTTGTGTGGTCTTTTGCTTTTTCATTGTACTGTTTCTTGTCTGTAATTACATGATAGCTCTTAAATGATAGTGTTTATCTGTCACTCATTAAAGCTATTTTCTGTAATTCTTGGTGCTTGAGGTTAATTCTTCATAGCACTTTGAAGCATAACATTTTACATAGAGGGTTTTTTTTCCAAGATTCTTAACACACTAATAAATACATTTTAGGATAGGTCCATCATGATTTTAGGTTAAAATTCTGGTTGCATCTTTGAGGTTTTACTGTTGTAGTGTTCTTTCGCTTCACAATGGCACCTCCCACTCCCAATATTCCAGCTTTGACCAGAAAAGGCCTTGTGTTCTGGACCTTTTCTCTTATTTGGGTAATTAAAAATGGTGGTCATCAAAGGCCAGATGTGATGGCATGTACCTGTAATCCCAGCGTTTTGGGAGGCTGAGGTAGGGGGATTATAAATTCCAGCCCAGCCTAGGCAACTTAGTGAGGACTTGTCTTATAATAAAAAATTAAAAAGGTTCTGGGGATGTAAATCAGTACAAAGGACCTGAGTTCAAATCCAGATGTGGAAAAAAAAAAAGATGGACTTCCAATAGATTTATTAAATTCTCAGTTACTAATGGAAGAAAATTAGGGTCATTATTTGAAAAATAAAAATTTAAAAGTAATACAGAAAGCATGCTTTTATTTAAAGCTCCAATCGTTGAGATTATGTCTAAGAAATTCAGCCACAAAGTTATAATAAGCCTCTGAGTTTCCTGATTGTTCTGGTTGAGGTATATGAAATGAAACTAGAAGGAGAAAAGGAAAATGGAAACAAGGTAAACATTCTGCCCTTATAGCATCAGTATTAAAGGAACTGCCCAGTCCCTTCTCCCTCAGGTTCACTCAGGTTGCAGTAACCAGTAACCAGGCAGACACTTACACAGAAGTGAGGCTGAATAGATCTCTGGAAATCTCCTGGATGTCGACCAGGGACAATGATCTCTGAAGAGCACGTTTCTGCTCTTCTCACCTGTCCTTAGAAGAATATTTTTATGTCTCCTGGGCAGGCCACTAACCACTTGATAAAAGAAGTGCAGGCCAGGCTGCTCTGGGCATTGTTCTGTTGTTCCTGCATCATAATGTATTGACATAGGTAGGCTCTGAAGTAAGAGAGCACAGGGCAGAAGCAGTCCAGAGGATTGTGGGCAACATTCCCGGAGCCCAGACAGCTTGTGGGTGTTTCTGGTGGCCTGTGAAGATTTGAGGGTCTCCTTGGGGAGCAATGTTAACCTAGAAATAATATGACTATGGAAAAGATATACTGTGAAGGTTGAAAATACTTTACATTATTTATCACTCAGTTGATGATGTATCATGCAGTCTCCTTGTGGCCTAATTTTCAGAGACATCTCTGAAGAAAAGCTTCAAAAGAGCATAGCATCCTTAGAGGGCAACTCTGCTTACAGGCAGAATTGAGGGTTCTGATATATAGCTTGATTCTTTCATCTTTGGATCTCTAGCATCTACTGTATTCTGGACACATGCTAAATGGGCACTCAGGATTTGTTGGTAGGCTGAATGAATGAATATAAATAAACACATGACATTCTTTTTTGAAAGTATCCTCTCTTGAGAATATGTGATTAGGTTATTTGTCCTTGACTTTCTGTGTGTTTAGGAGATTTCCCTCTCCCATCATCCTTTACTCTTATTTTTTAGTCTAATGATGCAGATGCCCACCTGGCTAAGCTACCTCATTGCCTGCTTCTGAAGACAAAATCACATGAGGAGATTCTAGCTGACCATTCAGCCCTGAGAGGGGGGTGTTATCTTGAAGTCACTTCACTTGGGTCACTGTATTTTACATTTGAGTGCTCGATTTTGGTAGGGCCCAGACAGTATTTCAGCTTTTCAGAACCAACATGAATTATCCAAATGACAATTTTCCTACAACAACTGTAACCGCCATTTGGGACCAGGTGTGGATGTCAGGAGCTGATGGCAAGCACTCCCACAGGATATATATCAGGACACTTTTCCACAAGCAGAGTCTAGGGCCTGGGGGATAGCTCCAATATTTGATGGCACAGGCTCTGGGGACAGCTCAACACATACAATTAGCTTAGTCTGCCGACAAAGGCAGCCTCTCCCTGTGTAGGCCTGAGGGTGCCGTGGGTAACTTTGTCTTAGACACTCTGCTTCCCATATTTTATGCTGAGCACCATCTTTCAGATGGACATATGCTCCCCCCAGTCATACCTTTGGGACATTGGCTAGGTTTCTAGTCATCCATTTCTTCATACAGCATATTTATTGCATAATTACCACTTGTTGAGTCCTATTCTTTCTGCCCCTAGGATAGGAAACATTTTTGCATAAATCTGGTTTATCTTCTTTAGCCTTAATGATATTATTTCTGAAGAAGCTCGATTAAATCCTTCAGTATTACTTCATATTGATATATTAGAAAGTACAGAAATACCAAAAGAGGGAAATAAAATTTATGGTGTATTTTAAATATTTACCTCTAAAATAGTAATGCTCTTTAACATGCACAAAACATAAAACCTCATTTATGACTTCATTTGGAGATACTGCTGTAAGTGAACTTGAAGCACTTGTCAACGTGAGGCCCATGACTAAGCCACCGTCTGTCTTTGCTGCTTCTGAGATGGGTCTGCTTATTCATGCCTGCGTGGGATCCTTTCAACTGCCTGCTCCAAGCTAGAGATATGAAGGTTTCCTCCATGTTCCATCTCTGGCTCCCTGATGAGTGCTATGCAAGGTCAATTCTGTTGGTCAATTCAGTAATGAGCATCTATTATCCATGCTGGTCTATAAAGATGAACAGCCTCTGTCCTCAGAAAACTTAGCATTAAGTGGGGGAGGAAGCAAAGCACATAAGCAAATTATTTTAATGTGATGCAGTAATAAGATAGAGGGGTGCCCAGTGAACTCTGAGAGCCCTGGTGGGAGGGCATTTTGCCCAGTTTGGGAATTTAGGGAAGGCTTGCTGCAGAAGTTAATGCTTAAGCTGAACTTTTTAGTTTTCATTATTGTAGTGTCTCCTGGGCAAGCTCTACCACTGAGCTACATTCCTAGCCTTCAAGCTAAATCTTGAAAGATTAGTTAGCTTAAACAAAAGCACAGGACCATCATATAACAGGGTTTGAGGGAGTAACTGCAAATGGTTTGGTCTTATATAAAATTGGAAGAGAGAGAAATGAAGTTGGGGAGGAATGCACTAGATTATTGAGGGCTTTGAATAATATAAGTGGGTAATTTACCTTAGCTGCTGCAGAGGTAGTTTTATGTAAGTTGATTTATGTTCTGGATTGATCATACTGGTTACAGTGTAAAGGACAGATTTAGGGAGAACAGTTCTGGAGACACAGAGACAAGGAACTGGCAATAAGAATGGGAAGGAGAGGATTGATTCAGAACTATTAGAAGAGTCAGAATTTGGTGACTAACTGCATGTGGGGGAGTCAGTCAGAATGATGACTCAGAAATTTCTGGTTTGAGACTAGATGAATGATGATGCCATTAACCAGGAAACAAAATAAAGAGAGAACAGTGTAGGAGGCAGAGAGAATGAGTTGCTTGTTTGCAGGAACCCCTGTTTAGCATGATGCCTTTCATTTGGTGTTTAATAAATAATTGACTTCTTTCTTAAAACTTCAATGGTTTCTTAGTGCTCTTAGAGCATGACATATGTCATAAGGTGTAGGCCTGCCTTTTGGTGAACACAACTGAACTCTTCTATCTCCAGCTATGTTCTGGCCCACTGCCCACCTCTTTCATACTTCTGTCTCTTTGCTGATTTGCATTCTTTAAATCCTTCCCTCTGTCTGAAATCATTTCCCAACTCATCACACATGGGGCTTATTGTTATTTTTTTAGAACCCAGACAAATTTCACCTTTTTTGAGAGCTCTTTTTCAATCGCTTGATTAATGATGATCTCTCAGCTCCAATTCCACCATTGAAGACTCTGCATTGTGGTGCTGGGCTAGAACTGCATTTCTTTCTCCAGTGGCTTCCTGTTAGGTTTAACAATAGGTTGTATTAGACTAGTTGGAGTTTGGAAAGCAGTAGGGAGAAGGGACTCCTGTTCCTTCACACTGGCTTGTTTCTGTCAGTGTTACCCTGGCAACAGCAAATGGTAAAAGCCTGCAATTTTTTTTTTTAATCTCAAAATCAGCAGCTGAGCAGAGCGATATATCTTGAGCCCTATCTCCAAACTCTCTCATCTGAGATTCTAGATCCAATCATCTTAATTCCTTCCTCCCAGCTCCTCTGCCCTAGTTGTGGCAGTTGCTTCCTTTAGTTATTATCTCTGACATCTGCTTCTTTCATTGTGTTTTTCTAGCCTCCACCATCTATTTAATTGAGTCACATATTAAAATCTGTCTTTTGGGAGAAGTAGCACAATTTTTGCCTTTAAGAAAAGGTCCAGACCCTGCCACAACGCTGATTCTGATTTAGACTTTCACTCACTCTTTAACGTATCACTGGCTTTTCTTCATAGACTTTTTGTAGTCTGTATTTAAAGTAATTTTTTTGTTTGTTTCTCATAGTCTACTTCCTCTACTTGGATATCAGAAACTTTGTTTCATTCATCATCACTGTATTCTCAGTGCCTACCATGGAGCCTGGCATACTGCAAGACCTTTCCAGTTACATTATTACAGAAGACCATACAAGAGATGTTGGTAATAGCCCATTAAAAAAAAGAGGTAAAAATCAACCAATTCTTTAACTTTTTGGTTTTAGGGCAAGTTATTTTTTTTTTTGGTACCGGGGATTGAACTTGGGTCTTTGCGCTTGCAAGGCAGGCCACCGAACCGCTGAGCTAAATCCCCAGTCCTGGGGCAAGTTATTAATAAATGCTGTAACAATGTAATTGTCTCAGGAAGTCAAGCATAATATTTCTTATAAGCATGCTAAAATACAATGCATTACTTAGACCTCTCAGGATAAAAAATACAGGTTGTTTGTTTTGAATTTTGTGTTTCCATAAACCACCACTTTCTATAAGGGAATGACAATGACTTACCTTGTTAGGGGATCAAGGGTTGATAACTAGCTAGATCTATCAAGTTTTATTAGTACATTATTTAAAAACTAAAAATAACAAAAACCTATTTGCTATAACATACATCATTTAATAACATTTACTTGGTTATCACAAACTGCTTATGTCCTTTTATTCATTGTATAATGTAGTTTGAAACAATCAAAATAATTAATACCAAATCTGGTATTTTTACACAGCTCTAAGGAGCTGAAAACATCTAAAGGCCTTCAAGTACAGTATACTATGAGAGAAACAAAAACCAAAACCCTGTAAAATGTAAGATGTTCTTAATTAATTCATAAACAATCTTGGTCAAATAAATGTGAATAGCTTAAATGACAGTGATGTTCACTGTGACACAAAGAACCATATAATTTTTTTTTTCTTTTTTGGTACCAGGTATTAAACTTGGGTCTTTGTGCCTGTGAGGCAGGCGGTGGAACCACTGAGCTAAATCCCTGGCCCTAGAACCATATAATTAATCCTTAACTTTCAAATCTCCCTTGTATCCACTCCAAATGTGTTCATATATCTTCCTTTTTCTAACTCAGAGGAGAAACGTCCTTTTCATCTTTAGATTAATTGAGCTACCAGGGCCTTTAAATTCAGCTCTTCTTGAATTCTTTCTGCATTTAGGAAACTTGATATAACTTTTCATACCCCAGCACTGTTGTTTCATTTACAAAACCACAAATAAAAATCTTCCTTCCATCTTATCAGTTCAATATAGTGTTTTATATATTTCTTTTCTTATGTACAAGTCCCAAAGAAATCATATTCAGAGTTTGTATTTAACAATGATTTTTTTTTTTTTTTTTTTTTT